CAATATCGATGAATTAATGTTAACCTGATGGTAAGACTGAGCTTTACTGAATTGTTTTCTCAAAGCATCAGCTTTTAAAACAATCACGTTCTCAATGTAAATAATCTTGTAGCGTTGTTTGTAAATTACAACGAAGTCGGTTTCAAAGGCTGTTTGAAGACAAAAAGATTTCCACCAATGAGCATTTTAAAATCCAATATTGATGAATACTCTTTCTGACAAACAAGTAAAATTTGTTATAACTAATTTTGTGTTATGTATCATGACCAATAAGTTTTCTATCATTATACGTTCCTATCATAAACTATTTCTAACCCTACTAGGGTTCATTACATAATTATATACAAGAGCACGAACTACATGTAGGCTAACTAATTTTTATATTATGTATTCCTTAATTCCCCTGAGTTTAAATTTTTTTTCCAATTAACAATTTTCAACTAGAAATTCTAATTCATTCACCAATTATCCAGTTATGAATGGGTAAATTGAATGATGAGTAGTAATCGTGTTATATCGTGAAAGCGTAGACAACTGAACGCCAACTAAGCATGTGATCGGTACCCTGCTCATTACTCCCTTAAAGTCCATCCTGAATGGAGACTAAGAGGATGGTAACTTCTAGGACTAGTTTATGAACTATTACTACATATATATTCTTATTGTATAAGTTACTAGATTATTATAGATATATTCTTTTTGTCATAAGCATTCAATTAACCCATCAAGTATTGTCATACGATTTACTATTACTAATTTATTTCCAATCTGTTATTCACAGTTTCTCCTACTCTCAGCCACTTTTCGGCTTGATCACATGTAATTGTTATTTTTTATTTCATGATGTGATTCAGTCTAGTCATCTAGTATATAAACTAATTCTGTCTGACATATAATTACAAACTTCAACTGGTGATCATTATTATTGTGTTCATCATCTTCGTTCGGAGCTAGTTAGTATTGATCCAGCGATTATGCACAGAGTATCAATCTACTCGTCTTTGCTGTTTACTGGTTACTCAAGTTCGTTACTGGAACATAACACCCTAATTTCGATTACATATGTAGTTAAAGGTATCCTCAGATAAGGAGCCCAAGATAAAAACAACCGTTCATCCCTCTATAGTTTCTTGTAGTTCTGTCAATAATAATCAGTTCCTTATAAAAAAACTTAATTATCCTTTAAATTTCTAAATGAACAATATATATATATTGAATAGTTAATGAATAATAAATTATCTTTCACTTTACTTAGTTCATCTCAGCACTAATATCATTTACCATTCAAATTTCTAAATGATTTTCATACTAACAATACTATATATATTCAATCTATCCTGTATAAAATAAACTTCATTGATACTGTAGTAGGCGTCGAGTCGCGATTGACTAGGATCACCACTACAGGAATATTACGTGCCAGAAATTAGATTGGATCTCTCCATAGGTCGAAAACCAGAAGGCAGTTGACGGTTGTAATAAGATATATTTGTTGGCAATCTCGTGGTATCGAAATAATATCGAGACCGTGCCAAAGTTTACAAGCAGAACTACTGAGAGTACGCGAGTGCGTGCAAGGTCACAGACAACGTATGTATGTATGTTTTTCGTACACTTAAACAAACACGTACAGTAAAACAATCACTGGTACAATTGGTTATAATTGTAATTGTTTCCGTTATACCAACTGCGTTCTCTTCATAAAAGCAGGTCATTATGATACCATTACAGATTAACTTTGAAATTAAGTTACATACACAATCAATCATGAAGTTTTGAATAGATTTTCTCTTTAAAAAAAAGCGAAATTATGTTTAATTTATAGAAGATTTATGAATTTAACATGCCATTCATATTACTAATGATTATGATATTATCACTATGTGGAATATAAAATAACAACAGCTATTAAATACCGAAAATATTCTTTCTTCTATTCATAAGGTTACATAATGGTAACATTTAAGAAGTCCAAAATAAAATACTATTAACCCATTATTAATCATTTAATTAATTAACAATAACGAAACTACTTAAATTAAGATGAAAATTTTTTTTGAAAAATACATATGTCACTGGGTTATGAATGACGAATAATTTGAATTGAAAATTAAGGACAGTAAATTCATCCTTGTCTGAGAATAAGCAATTCTTCAAAATGTACTTATCTGTTTTCGTATTTACTACTAATATTACTATGAAGTTATGAGCAAAGATAGAAAGTGGCTAGCAATAAAAAACAGGATGCGCGTTTCGTCCTATTTGGAACTCATCAGATCGATGTACCTACAACTCAGAGTTAGTGTTCACTTTGGGACTCGGACCCAGCACCGTACGTCCAAAATGCCAACGCATTGTCCATTTAGCTTCTGAGTCTGAGAGTGGACATCAAATCTGAGAAGCAGGTACATCCAGCTGACGAGTCCCGAACAGGACGAAACGCGCGTTCTGGATTCCACTGCTAGCCACTAGCCATCTTTGCCTTGAATGTTTGTGAATTAAGGCAATGTGCACAAGATGCACATATATCAATAAGTAACTGATCAATTGCAGTCCTAAACATCAATAGGAGGATACAAGTAAACAATACCAAGTGAATTACTATGAAGTTGTTTATAATTTAATAACGAAATCTAGACTTAAACAATTTGTGGATTGTATTTAAATTACGAATTTTATTGATATAGAAATACCGCTATATTATAATCTACAAATGTAAACAGTTTCATTATTAAAATAAATTACAATCCATGATAAGATAATCAATCACTTTTAAAAGATATACGGCTTAAAAAACAAATTTTTTGAAGTAGAAAATGTAAAAAGAATGTTAAGAAATAGTTGATTTAAATCAAACAGTGATTTTTTTGTTATTAGTTGAATTGAAATCAGCATGAATATAGAAATTGTTAATTCTTGTTAAATTTAGTATTTGAATTAATGAGCCAATTGAAGCTAGACCGCCATGGAAAACCTGGAAGCACTGGACGGCTATTTCGTCCCAGTATGGGACTTTTCAGTACTGCGCATCCATCACACCGTCTCGCGCGCTTGAACGCTCAACCTGTAGACTACTAAGCCAAAATCCAACGATGTTAATGTCTAACTTCAACGAATTCACAAACTTGCGTCACCGCCCACCATTGTCTTCAATGAGTTACTATCTCACAAGAGAGATAATTTTGTGATGAATTAAACTAAGTTTGGAAAGGGTTTTGACTGGAAACTAACATTAGTAAGTGAACCATTGAAAACTAAGGAACTCTGAAAAATGTTCATCCATAACGGTTTTCATCACAATTCTAAATGATTTTAGGATCAAAATCTGTGTGTCTCTCAGCAAATACCTAAATAATAGACTATCAAATCAGATTCCGTTGGAGTATTTTAGCGAATTTCAAACTTTTTTTACTTCAATTGTTTGATTTCTGCATCCTACAAACCTTTTTTCTGTCGTTCTAAACCAACTTCAGTTTGCATATTATATTCAACAAATTTCGTACAAACGCAGTGATTTTGTTTGATTTTTTTAAAATTACACTATGGTACAGTAGCAAGTATTTATAAGTTTTATTCAGAAGAAACACTAATTCATTGTATTTGAATACCGAAACTTTTGTACATACTGCCCACCTCATCTTTATATTACTAATACAATTCACTGACATAATAAACTAATATATGTATACACAGATACATTTCCTTACACACAATTAACTTATTCAAAATTGTATCGAGTTACTAACGGTTGGATCAGGACACTTTATTATTAATAATTTATGTACTAGAAAATAATTACTATGATTCGTATCCATACTAAGGTTGGACTTGATAGTTTCAAATAAATTAAGCATTGGGTAGAGAGTTAATAATAAATTTTTGATGTTTCATAACTTAATGTAAGCTACTTCCTCAGAGTAAATATATAATGCGTCACTCATTTACCCTGAATAAATGGCCTACATTAAGTCACGAAACATCGGAAATACAATTTTTCTGCTCGTTGAGATATAACAAAAATATATTTATTATTAATCGCTGTAATTACTTCAAGTAATTTAATTATGTACCACTTACAAAAACACTCAAATGACATGGTTTTTCTATAAACTAAAGTGAATCTCATTTTTGTTACCTGCAGTTTCAAGAAAAACAATTATCTAAATAATTGATTATTCTTCTAAATATTTTATTTTATTACAAACACTTCAGTGTTCGAAATCGAATTGTTTATTCCGTAGACAGTCTAACAATTATAATTCGGGATTAATTGAATTAATTCTGTGAAATGTAATCTATCTTAAGATGCATTTAATAATCGTTGAATTCAAAAGTACTTTTTGTTAAAAAGAAACTATAATCAGCTTGATGATAAAAAAACCAGTAAGCATTGAATACTCGTCTTCTTTATAGGTTGACCTTCTAGACAGTGAATACTTACCATATCATATAGGATATAACCAATAATCTTCAAGTCTCCTAATGAGTATGATACATTTAACCTACTTAGTTAATTTCAGTAGTTGAAATTATGACCACCATGGAAGACCTGGAGGCACTGGACGGCCGTTTCGTTCTAGTATGGGACTCCTCAGCGGTTCGCACCCACGATCTTGCCTCCCGCAAGTTTCAAACCCAGGACCTATCCGTCTCCATAAAACGCCTTCTCATACTACTTAGTTAAATTTGAAAATTGTGAGAATTTTCAGCTCAGAAGGATGATCTTTATAGAATTGAGTTCTCTGAGTTAATATCAAACTTGATCAGAATCAAATTTCATTTATTGATATATCTAAGATCTTAACTTATAACAAAAGCTTAATTTAGATCAATTACTTAGTTAAAAAAGAAGCAAACAAACGAGAGAATGTAAAAAATGAAGTTTATTGTAAAATGAAACTAAGTAAATTTTATATTGAATAGATAGATAGTTAATGAAATGCAAAATATTGAAAATTAAACTTTTTTTTATTTATTACTAAATGATAAAATGAACTTACTTTAAGTAGTATATAAGCAGTGGACATTTTCTCTTTGATGTTGAACTTGAATTTTTTTATATTTTGAATCGTTTCGTTATAAATTCGAATATCAGTTAAGTGTTTTATTAATGGAACATTTAGTCTATAAATATAAATATACATAAAACAATGAATAAATTAATATAAAGAAAAGCGAAGAAAAGAGAAAAAGAAAGAAAAAATGAAAAGAAGAATGTTTATAGTTTAATGTATTCACATGATTAAATTGATAAACTACTTAAATGATATATTGAAACTACTTAAATTAATTTCATATATGAATATATGTATATATATATATATATATATATATATATATATATAAAGTTAATTTAATTAAATAATTAAAATTAAATCAAATCAGTATCATATAAATTATGGTTATTAATAGTAGTGATAACTTTAATTATCTTTTGTTTTTATAACGTATATGAATCATTAATGTAAACGTTTAATATGTAGAATAAATTCTGTTTCAATGAGAGAGAAAGAAAGAAAAAAGTACTTTACCCTATTCAATGAACTTCATTGTAATTTAATAATTAAATTCATGAATTAATTGAAGCTAGATCAACATGGAAAACCTGAATGCACTGGATAAAGAAGAAATTTAAAAAAATAAAAGACATCTGAAATAATCTCATGTAATGCAAATTGCCTAGAAGTGTTGAATGAAGGTTATTGAATTTTTGAATATATGTTTAAGAATATATTACTAGTATTGAAGCTATTTAATATTGTGTTGTGTGTTACTTATGTTGATCAATATAAATATTATGTATCGTCAATCGAAAGTCAGATACCTGAAAGCAGAAGAAAAGAGAACGAGAACAGAAAATGATTAGTGTGCAAACGAAAGAACAATCAAGTCTGAGACGATTGACTGAAACTTTGCAAATGAGTTTTTTACTGTATGGTTATCAGATTTTACTAAGACGATCTGTCATTTGGTATTCAAATACACTCGATTATCCCCACTTGTGTTCTCATTCACTACAATACTTTCAGATTTACAATGATTCTCTAAATGATATTAATCTATCATTAAATCTGTATTGTGTTATTAAAAAAAAAGAAAGTATGCTCTACTTCCATAGATTAACATGTATTTGTTTATTAAATCATACAAAAAGTGTATTATGGAATAAGCCTTAGTAAGTGAAAGGCTATAAATCATTGGACTAAAAGAAAGGAGAATGTTTTTAAATTATTATTATTATTATTTATTTATTTATTTGAACACATAAATATTGATGCAACAAGGCACCGAATACATATACGCCACATAAATCATTCGATTTCTGTGTGGGTTATGATACTAATCGGGTGCTCAAACCGAAGTATGTTATTTTGTCAGGGGCCACATCAGGAGCCCTTGACCTGAAAGTCTGATCCACAATGCAGTGGAACAACATCAGAAGATGCTGTCCCATGGTAACCGATGACTAATAATTGGTTCATACGCTATTTGTTCCTTCAAGATGCTTGAGTGCATGTGCACCATTGGTTTAGAATCAGAGGTTTCCGATTCCCCTATGTGTACCCTCCATGTCCATCAACACGGCTAAAGCGCCAGATATTCGCTTTTCGTCCTCTCAATTTCGTAAAAAACATCGTCGTGAAAAGTCAGTGACTAGGACTTCCCTGACAGTGGCTGTATACACATGGCCATATGAGAGCATTTCGAGAGGGAAAGCTGAGTCTCCCTACTCTCGGTAGTACCAAGACACTTGAGGGAATTTTCATTGAGAACACTTCACTAGTTCTAGTAGTAATTAAAAGTAGATATTAGATGAAAATTAGTTCGTCATTAAACATTTAAGTATAGAGTCTATTGAATGAAAATACAATAAACTAATTTCTTCTATAAACAGTATTTGTTGGGAAAGTAGATTAACAACTGCAAACGAACATAAATGTAACTATTAGTAAGGTCTATAAAGTTAATTTTAGAGAATTGCTAGAATAAAAGATAGTTTTTTAAAAACTTAAAACACTATATTCCTGTAAGGTAACTTAAAAAGTTTGCCAATCTTTCAATGACTCAATTGATACTTCCTGTTTCTCCTAGGATCACGGAAAATTAAGTTCAATACCAAAACATTAAAACGTTTAAATTATTTCATGAATTCGACAATTGATTCTATAAAGAAATGAACAAACTATAAACAGACCTATTTGCGTAACAACCGAAATCATTTTCATACACTCATACACAACAATTTCATTTTGTACACATATTCATAAACGATAACTTGGAGCCCTCTGCAACTTCAAATGCATTGATTGTTTCTCCAGCTGCTTTTAGACGAAAAGGACTAACCATGTCATATGATCTTTTACCAAACGTCTCGCATGCCTGAATCGAATCCAAGACCTCAGTTTTTGGGATCGTGGATGCGCACTGCCGTAGAGTTCTATACTAGCTCGAAATGGTAGCTCAATATTTCTAGGTTTTCAATGATGGTCTAATATTGATTGATTTATGTTCTCAATAAAAACAACAATTTCCACAACCCTATATTGATAATTGGTAACGAATTCTGCCAATTTATATTTACAAATAAATGACTAACTTTCATAGTATCTAGAATAATTTACTCTTATTCTGCATAAAATATCAATTTGAAACCATCGGATATAAATAAGATTGATTATACCTATTTAAGTTTCTACTCAAATAATCAATCAGAAAATAACATGAAAAATGTTGTCAAGACAAGATCGCAAAAAGGTTTCTACATTGAATCATTCATAAATAATGAGATTTGTTTATTTAAGAATGTTATATTTAAAATTTACTTTTCTATATTAAAAAAACTGTTCCTCTATATTGATACCTTGCTAAAAATGTGATTGACCAAGTAAAGATCTTTCATATATCTTTAGTTTATTATATCCGGAATTCTGAAGCCTTCATGCATGAGAATATCATCAATATGTACTTGATAAAGTTATTAACGGTATTCTGAAATTTCGAAATGAAGATATTATAGCTATTTTTGTAATGGGTAAGTTCAAACAATCTGTTGTCTCCTGTTTATACTTTGTAGTCATAGTAACTAGTTGAGAAATATATTGTACATCATAATATATTGAATATTATTAACTACTGAACTAAATGAATTTATAACTGAACAACTAATTAAATCATTCAAAGTATTCAACTATTAGTTTTCACATTATTAAATCTTATACGAGTATAAGCATACTGAAATAGAAAATCAGTAATTTACTTTGAAAGGGTGTGTTTATATAAGTAAGTGGACCAATTAATAACACTCATTAAAGGATAATTATCTCACAGCTTAGAAGAAAAAAAATAAAAGTCAGTAGAAATAAGCCAATGTTGACCACCTATATCTGGTGATTAAATCACTTTATCAACTGTAACAATATCAAAGGTCTATTCATAATCACTCAATTACAATCATACCACTATTAATATAATAATATAAAACAATTGAATAAGTCTGTAGATTAATTGTGCTGTACAGCAATGTTTGAATTGCACTATAAATACTACTCGCGTTACTTATTTCAGTTAGCTTACAGTTAACTATGGTTTTCTTTCTTTTGTTCTAAACTATTCATTATATCATAATGATATTAACTACTCACAGCAATCCCAATATACTAATCAATTTAAAATATATTATACATAGAGAGATAGAAAGATAGATAATTATATATTTTAATCTCCATAGTGCATTGGCACTATTTCTTACATATTATGAATACTATGTGGACGCCTTTAAAGTTATTTGTTTACAATATTATTATTATTATTTAATTTACAGTATTATCAAACTAATCCAGGTTTAATTATTCACATTGTTTTACATTTATTCAAATTGGAATTACTATCCATTCAAATCAGTATTACAAGGATTAAGTTACTATCTAATCAAAAATTTGGTGGTTATACCAGTTCTACATTTTCTTCGATAGTTTCCCTTAAAAAAGGAAAGCTTAGACCAGATTTCTAGGCAAAATATTGGATTTATTTCAAATTCATTCACTAAGATTTTACAAATACATTCTTGCTCTAATGATTTAAAACTAATAAATAAGTAACAAACAATAAAAATGACACCAAAATAATAATGATAAGTAAACAAGAATATTCTTCGACAATTCGATGCGATCGCATAATAATAAATAAGAACTATCGTCTAAATTTGATCGAATAGTTTCACGATATTTAGGCACCGAGTTAATGTGAGACATTTTCCTTGAAAAAGCTTGGACCAGATTGCCAAGCGAAACGTAGGATTTACTTCAAATTCTTTTGCTGAGATTTTACAAATACATTCTTCCTCTTTAAACAAGAATATTTTTCATTACGAGACACCTATTAACTAATGAAATAAAACTTAACAATATACATGGTCTACTTGAACTAATTTATGAAAATACCTAATAAACATTAAACTTCATTATGTATAGAGAATAAACTCAACTTCTATATGTTTGAAATTAAATATAAATATGTAAATATCAATAAAGTTAGTTTATAATCAATGAAACTTTTAATTTTTGAATTAATTTCTCTGGTTAGTATTTTATTTTTAGCCAATTAGTTTTCTACGGGATAAAATCGCTGACTCCATGCACAACTCGACAGTAGCTCAAGAGGGGATCCAGATGGAGTTAACCAATGAAATTCAGTATTCAATTTCAATTTATTCAATATAAATTATGACTAACTATTTTTTAAAATTATTAACAATAGAGATGAATATGTAATAACCACACATAAATGAAATGGGTATATTGTGTGATCTAGAAATTAATTAAAATGTCTCGCGAGCGAGGGTGGGATCAGGGATGTGCACTGCTGAAGAGTCCCATACTGGGACGAAACGGTCGTCGTTCAATAATCTCGTAGTACAGTTTTAATAGATTAAATAACTTAAGCCAAAATTTGAGAACAAATGATCGTTCATAAATTGTCATTTCATTGTGTTTACAATGAAATGATATATTATCAAACAGATTTTTGC